TAATCGCAGTGAATCTACATGTGATAAATGCTATAAGTAATCTTAAGTGATTCAGCATTGAAGTTCGTTATGGCTAATTTTTTAGCTCGTCCAAGTAATTATTAGCCAATGATCTTTGTCACCTATCTTCGTTTATTTACAGTAGTTCATCTGAAGGACTATATCTGCTCACCCAAAGAAGCGGAAGCAAAGAACCATATCAATCAATCCAACATGTACTTCATGTGAGAGAGTCTTTTCATATAGAATCATATAGCCTTATTATTATTATTATTATTATTATTATTATTATTATTATTATTATTATTATTATTATTATTATTTACATCATTTGTTGCTGTCATTCAAGAGATCTACTTTGTTTTGATCCTCGGTTTTACCTTTCGGAACGAGTTTCTTATTTTGAGGTGCTCTGTTGCTACCATTTTCACAATATCAGTGTAGTGAGCTAGCTAATCATCGAGTTTCATTAAAGTTAGCATATGTTACTCTCAATCCTTTAAATGTGATTAAGAAAATCAACAAGAAAAAAAAAAAAAAAGGTGTAATGCTTGAAAACTACCTCACTCTCAATTCTTTGTTCGTCAACTTAGGGTGGCAGAGCTAAGTAGACTTGATTCATCGTGTGTGCCAGATATTGCAAGGAATTTCAGTTTAAGAGACGTTATTGCTTATCAGTGATAGTTCAGCTATCTTCTTTTCAGAGTTCAAACACCTGTCATAAATGTCGACATATGAGTTATTATAAAACTAATATCGAGAGATATATGATAAAATGCATTTGATGTATTATTTAGCATATAGTCTGAAATAATAATTATATATTTTACCTACTTATGCTTGAGAGGTTTCGTGACTTTTATAGGACTCTCTTTGCAACAAAAAAAAATTAATAGGTCTGGCATCATCGGGCAAAACCTACTTTTGATGATTCTTGAAAGAAAACATCGGGAAGATTGAAAGGAGCCTATGAGAAGATGAAAACTTTATATATGATTATTGTGTACGTTACAACTCTATTTATAGAATGAAAGAAATAGTGAGTACATATATTCTTTCAGAATGATGAAAAATAGTCGAATAAAAAATTTGTGCATAATGTTTCAAAACTAACAGACACGTCAGAAGTATCAACAACCGTGGTAATTCGACAATCAAATTGAACATCTAAAGAAAAATTCACATGAAATATTTATGAATAATGTAGCCTCACTAGGGATTGATATATTGAAGGAAGATATATTAGAAAATATTTTGTATTCTTAAAAGGTAACATGACATGAGATGCGAAGACATTTAAAAATAGGTTCATAACATCTCTATCACTTATGTTCAATTCCATGCCCAAGAAAACAACACAATCGTGATCAAGGTTGGAACTTATTATGCTCATGAGGTTAAAAAAAACCAAAACATGCACAACCAAAACTTTAAAGATTGAATAGTTTGAAGTTTTACCAAAAACATCATTCACACGAAGATTGATGCATAATAAAAGAAAATGAGGTATGATTAATTGCATGTACAACTATAAGTACTTCACTCTAAAATGTCTTGAGTTGAAGCAAAAAAAGTATAACTTGACTACAGTCCAAAAAGTATCTAAGCTTTTGTTCTACACATCCATTTTGTTGAAATGTTCATGGACATAAATATTTCAAAATAATTTTATATTGATTAAGAAGAAAAATAAACTTTCTAGATTTCTATTCTTAGAAATTGTCAGAATCAAGATATTTAAGGGTACAAAAAACAAAAAA